AATAGAAAAGTGGCTAGTTAAACTATATTTGGTTGTCCTAACAAATCATCTAAAGTGTGTAAAAGAGGTCGTGTGATTTGGATATATCCTATATAGGCAAATGGTTAAAATATTTGAACTTTGATTGGTTAGACTCAAAGTATTTAAGTTTGAGTTTCAATATTAATAACTAGAAGTTAATTTTAAAGTGTGTTTTAAAGGTGATTGATTATCACTTTTGTTGCCCACCGGGGCTATAAAGTTTATTTCACCTAATAGCCTCATAGACCGAATTACCTAGTGATAACCAGTACAATTAAGTGAATTGAATTGATTAAAGTTTGAAAGTTATGAATTTTAATTAATTTATTGGTTGCTTGTTTTAAGGTTAGATTAAGTTTTTTTGATTTTTAATGATTTTTGAATTTTTGGATTATTTTAATTATTTATTAAGGGTCAAATTTGACTTTAAATTTAAAATATAATTTTTAAAAAGTTAGTATTTTTCATAAATATTAGACCTTAATAAGAGTAATTAGATTATATGTTTTGCTAGATTTGTATTTTCTATAATTAGTTATAAATTTTAAAGCCTTGACTTAAATTTTATTAAAGTTGATCAGATTATTAACTTTTTATTTCTCACAGTTTGATATTTTAATAAAATTAGACTCAAATGAAGTCTAATACATTTGAGTTTGTTTAATTAGAATTTCTATATTAATAATGATTTTTATAAGTTTGAGTATTATTTGAATTATTTAATATTATTTTAATTGAGGGGTTTTAATTATTTGCTCCAAATGAACTAAAACTCTTTGAAATCACCTCCAAAGATTATAAATGACCTAAAGAGATTCCTAAGTATTTAGGTATTTCTAGAATTTTTAATTAATTAATCAATTAAATATTGATTTGTAATTAAATTAAATTAAGCTTGAATTTTATGTCAAATAAGAGGTTTGATTTTCTGAGTTAAGGTTGAATTTTGTCAATTTGTGGTTTTATATATATTTTTGGATTTAGATTTGATTTATTAGAATTTTTGAAGTTCTTAATATGTAATTAAGGGTTTAATATTAAGTTAATTAATTAAGTGGATTAATGATTTTTAAAGTTACTGGAAATTATTTTATGGACTCGAGATGTCATTAAGTTGAATGTTTAAAGTCTCATATCATATGAAGTGTATCTTAATTATTAAAATTAATCTATGTTCTCTAAATATTTCTTAATTATTGTCCTCAATGATGTCACTAGATTGTGTGGGTTTGAATCAATGTTTTGCTAACCATTGGACAAGCATATGAATACACATACAATCACAATCAAGTCCTTAAATCTCGGAGAGTCTAAGACATATAATTAAAGATTATATTAGTGAACAATAAAAATATGATTATTGACTAATCATCCTCATCAATACAATTCATATAGTCTCAATCCATATTTAAAGTTTCAAGGGATATAATTTTAAAATATACATATATTAACCTATATATGAAATATAAGTCTTAAAATTCTATATTTAAAATATATTAAAATAATTTTAAAATATTTTTGAGAGATCCTCTGTTATTTAAAATAATTTGAAAATAAAATTTTAATTTTAAAATATTGAATTTAATATTAAAATAATAATAATTAGTATTATTTAAAATAATTAAGTTTTTAATTTGAAATTAATTTTAAATTATAGTATTAAAATTCTAAAAATTTTGATATAAAATATTTAAAATTGTATTTAAATTGAATTTCCTTTAAATTTTATGTTAATATAGTATTCAAATTCATTAAAATTAATTAATATTTAAATAATTCTTAGATTAACATATAATATCTTAAAATAATTTAATTTTATATTTAAATATTTTTTTACAATAATTCTTGAATTATTTAAAATATTTAAAAATAACTTTTAAATTCTTGAAAATATTTAAATAATTAAATAACAATTGATTATCTAAGTATTAAATCAATTACTTAAAATATATTAAATATTATTGTTATTTTATTTGAATATTCAAAATATATTTCAAGAAAAAATTTGAGTTTAAAATAATTGAGTTAAAGTTAAATTTTGATATTAATTTTTATTTAATTAAAAATTAAAATATTAAAATTATTTAAGTTATTTAAGGAAATTATTTTAAAATTTAATTAAATTTTAATATTAAATATTTTTAATATTAGCATTAAATATTTAATTGATTTATAATAAATTTTTAAAATATTAAAAATAATGGTTTTTTTAATTAATATTAAAATAAAAA